GCACTTACATCTCATCAGATGAGGGGGTTTGCGGGATTAAAGTAGATTGGGCAGGAGAATAAGTGGCTTCCTCAATCACTTCTTCTGATGTGAGATGTCATGACGAGATGAGGTTGTACAAAAAGGAGAGAGTCCTCAGGGTGCACAACTGTTTAGTTCCATACAGATCGGTGTAATGCTCTTCTCTTTTGTAACGGGAGAAGATACCGGATGCGGACTCCTGGCAAGTAAAAGCTCGTTTCAGGCTTCTGAGCGGCTGAGCCATGGAAGGAGCCCACGAGGAGCACAGCCTCTGCTCCAGGCACTGCCCGGCACGTCTGGGCTGAGCCCAGGCTCTCCAGGCAAGGTGGCGGCAGCCCCTGTGGCTGTGTAGGATTGCATCGGCTGGGGTGCCTGTGAACGTGCGGTTGTAGTGATTGTAATTACCTCACACATGCATACTAAATATACAATTTATTGATATAACAAGACCATGCATGACAAACAACAAACGGAATACAATATTTTTTGTGAAACGATCTGCTGCAATGCGAAAGGTTGATCGTTGGCTGGATTGGTGTGCAGTCCAACTTGCCAGCTGCTCACTCTGTGCTGGGTGTGTCCCGGCTGCAGAGAGACAGGAGTAGAGCTAGTTAGTGTTGCTGAACTTTGGACTGTAAAAACAGCCTGCGCACAGTTGCCTACTTGGGCTCTGCCACAAGGTAGACAGGTGGGAGAACAGAGTTCATCCTGGCTGCAGCTTGGTGCCGAATATGCATGGATATTCAGTCGACATCAAAGAGTCTAGCTGTCTTATTTCATCTATCAGGAAAAATAACATTGGGTTCACAAACACAAGATTTCTTCTGTTTCAGAAAGAGAATCTTGGGCAGAATTCTGTACTTTTCTGACTTGCTCTCTTGACCTGGAGCTACTGTACCTGCAGTAGTTGGGACAAGTCAGATTGCCTGTTCAGTTGGAGAAAGATGATGAGCTGGTGGAATTAGCCAATGGAAAATGAGTTGGGTGAAAGATTTTAAGGTGTGACATCACAGCTGATTGGATGAGGGTGTGATCAGGTATAGTCTTGGTACCTATCCTGCAGGTCCCTCACTGGTGATCTTCCTTGAACCTGTGATCTTGGGAAGAAACAGACTGCAGACTCGCTGGAGCACATCTGCGCTATACTGTATATCATTAGATGGGCGTAGCCTTATGATATCTGTTTTTCAGAGAGACGAAAGCTGCCTTGTCAAGGCAACACAAAGATCATCTTTAATAACATTTAATTATAACTGTAACAATATGCCCTGCTGCCTCACAGTGCTCTCAGCAAGATCTACACCAGCTCTCCAGACAATGGTGTCCGTGCAAAGAGGCTTTCAAAAATGACAGGCAGCTGTGACCATGCATGTGATGGACAGGGATGCACAGTTTTCATCCTGTCCCTTCTCCAGTGAGACAGGGGTCATAGTGATGAGCTGGACTGATTTAAGAGGAGAGCAAATCGTAATTATCACCTAATCAGGCTGCTCTCACTCCACCTGGCTTAGACTACCAGTAGCTCTTCAAGTGCCTGCTTCTCCCAGACTGAGGGAAGTACCGACATGAAGACCTGATCTTTGTACTGAAAAAAGGAAGAACTGGCTGTTGTTTAGAGTAGGAGGTGAGGAAGAGCTCTGGGCTAAATCCTTCGTGCTGGAGCTGTCAGAATTAATCGGGGCCAGGAACATCGAGAGAAGGGGCTTGGTAACAGTAGCTGGGCTGTTTTATAGACCATTTAAATCCTTATGAAGTACAATCTTTTCCAATGTATCACGTTTAACTTAAAACGCAATATCTGAGCACTTCAGCTTCATTAGTCAGGCTTTGTCAGAGCTCCGGCAGTCTGCTGAGGTCTGTATATAGAGAGAGGAATCAAAGTGGCAGCAAACGGTGAAGGGAGAGAAACCAGGGTTGGTCACTGCTCACTTCCATGGGCAGTCGATGCACTAACAGTAAGATTAAGGTTACAAAACCCTGAAGTGTGAAGGCTTAAATGCTGGGAGTAGTAAAATATCTGGAGCAGCAAGGGGGTTTGGGCATCATTCATTGTTTATTATAATGAACGAAGACGAAGGGGGTGAGCAGGGGACGAGCAGCGGTGTTGAACAGATTACTAGAGGGGAGCCAGTAGACTCTAATGAGGGCAACAGAATAGGTGTCTGACCCACAGGAGTGTGGTGTAGGTCACCAACTAATAGGCAATTAAAACAATAGATAAGATCATGAAAGCTTTTAGATAAAATGATGCTTTTATAACGGTAGACATAATCAATAATGATGATGATGATGATCAATTTTCATGGCCTAGCTAACAGGTATTGCAATATTATTCCTGTGATCAGTAAATTACATTGGCACCCCGCCAGATTTTGAGTGGACTTTGTCTCCTGCTCATGTATAAGGCATTGGATGGCCCAGCTGTAGGTTTTATAGGCTTATTGCCTTTAATATTACTGCAAATAGTCCATATTTTAATCCCGGCCTTTTCACTTTGTCAAGACCTGGGTGTCAGAACCTGTCATGCGCGTATCTGTGGAACTAGATCCATTATAGATGCTGCAACTGTCGACACTTTCAGTTTTCAACCTTTTTTTCTTTTAAAGATCGATCTTTTTACGTAACTTATTTTTCCACTGGATTTCAATTTGCTGTCCCTTTTTTTCCTTTTCTTTAGACTTCTCTTGTGTATTATGAGAGTGCTATTGTACAGTGCTCTGGGTTTCTAGAAAAGTGCTCGGAAATAAAATTGCATTGTTATTTTTCCTACCTCAGCAGGCCTCTCTTTAGAAACCTTGGAATTCAAAGACAGTAATTGAATGTCTCTAAAATCTTAAGGCTGTGGAGAGGTGATGAACTGCCCTAGTTAAACACTAGCGTGATCCCTTCAGCACCCTCTCCCAGCTGAGAGTCCATTTAGAACGTACTGTATGGCAGGGGTTCCCAGTCCTATTCCTAGAGGACCACTCTAGGACTGCTGGTTTTCATTCCAGCTCAGCTTAAATACCCAATCAGAGCCTTAATTGAAATAATGAGTGGCCTGCTGGTACTATTCGCAATTGGGATTTTATTTCACTTATGAAATGCCGTCGTTAAGAGGTAACATTAAAAAAAAGGGAAGAGTTGAAAACAGTCAAACAGTTATTTCTGTTATTAGATTATTAAGTCCATGAATTCTCCATTTGCGTTATCGTGAGCTTGTCTGGAACAAATCCCAGCAGGTGTGTGGGCCTCTAGGATTGGGAGCCCCTGACCTAAGGGAACCCAGACCTGTGGGAAACCAGATCCCCAGCAGTGGGACCCCAGTCTACTACAGAAGGTGTGCCTGTGTCCAGAGACACTGCAATGTCCGTGTGTTGGGCGTGACCGTTCTTGTGCCTGTTTTGTGCAATCTTTGTGCAGGCTGCAATCAGAAGACTGATGTAGTCTGGCAGTGTAGCTTTATGGAAATGTTTTGGCAGACATTGGAAGCAGGGGCACCAGGCAGTCTGGAACAAGCTTCCCAGCCATGTTGTTAAAGCCGATACCCAGGATTCTTTCATGAAACAGCTGGAAGAGATCCGATTAATCCGCTGCTCACAGTCAAATTGAGTGGCCAAATGGCTTCATCTTGTTTCTTTCATCTGTAACTTTTCTCACTGCATATTTTTATGAGTATATTTGATTTTACACTGTATATTTTATTTTTCTGTGATTAAATGACATTAATCAACAGTCCAGGAAGGCCGTGTGTAACTAATAGGCAGGTACAGTGAAGGGAGAAAGACAGGAGACGAGAGAGAGGGTGCGGGCTCCTTGTTGCAGCTCATCCAGGAAGACCAGACTGGAGTGAAGTATCTGAACCTTGTTAAGAGAGCTTGCGATCCTGCTGTTAGGAACTTTGATTTCTTGAATAGAGAATCCCGTGGTGAAAAACAGCCTCTCCTGGTTAATGGGTGCATTTCCAGAATAGGGAGATGGGTTCTGAATAGGCACTGATACTGTAGGTTCCCATTCATCTGGATGCATTTGGATTTATAGAGAGAAATTGAACTCTGGGTAGTGTTCTGTTTAGTTTAGAAGGCAGCTTTATCTCTTCTTTTAGCTGTTGTAGGCATTGTAAAAGAGTTAAATACTTGCTAGCAGTTTGGGGTTTTTCTGGATTGTTAGGACGTTGGGCCTCTGGGAAATTATTTGAAAGCTTGTACATAGCGTAAATTGTGTTGTTGAGTGTGTATTATCAATACTAATGAATATGTGTTTAACTAGGTGTGCCTGATTATTACTCTTTTCACCAACGCTGTGCCAGAGAACAAAGAATTCTTCAGTTCATCATCATTCGTTATCATCGTTCTAACTAAACCAGCCCCTTGGGTATATTCTTGACAGAAATCATTTACCCCAAGTTGGGCTTTATGACCATTTATTTTACTTGTTGGTATTAATCCACTCAGTCAGTTCCTGATACCTCTCTAGTTTCGTAACCCCCCATCTGTAACACTGTTATTGGCTCGATCTAGAGAGCAATGCAGGGAAGGTGTTTCCAGGTGGGGGAGTTGGGAGGTGAAGGCCCAGCCGACTCGCACGCCGCGCAGGAGAATGCTGGGCGCTGATGGGCAGAGTGGCCTGCGTCCACCGTCGGCTTTCCAAAGGGTTTGATTTTCTCTTCTCTTTTTGGCAGAA